GTACCGGATAAGGGTAATATCATCCCTACATACTCCCTGTAGAGTATAATCCCTTATGCCCTACTAAGCACCAGTAAGATGAGGTCCTCCTGGAATTTTAGCAGCAACAGTATTCTCAGGGACAGTTTCAGGTGGGTAGTTACCAGGTGGGTACCCCCATAAATGGCTCATGTAAGGCTCGTATAAGGGTAATGGGCCTATATGAGGTTTATATAGGCCCCTTATAAGGGTAACTACCCACCTGGATCTGTCCTTGATATTCTGAGGGTCCAAATACTCAACCGGTCCATCCTCAAGGCTCTTATGATGAAACGATCGCACCACTTGTAGCTAAACTATAGCCTAAACTCCTTCCCAGACCCCCTAAGGGATCCAACAAATGGAACCCCCTAGTTTCCCAAATGTAATAATGGGTTCATATTGGGGGTGGGATTATTATAGGGGGTATTTATGGGGATGCTAGAAGTTTAGACTAGCTCAGCTGCCTTTGGGCACTCACGGTAGAGACGACGCCAGGGTAGGCTAGACTTCTGATAACATCCACTATTGCACTGCTTGGAGGGTCAAGGGACTTAGTAAGTAGGTTAATAGCCCCTATAAGGCATATAATAACCCCAATTATCCCCATTATTAACCTACTTACTAAGTCTCCTGACCCTCCAAGTATGGTTCGCACGGCACCGTGTCCAGACTGCCCCAACTCCTCAGCCGCAAGCACAGGTGTAGCTCCGGCCATGCGCCACGAGCACAGTCCTTCAAAAGGAAAGCATCTAGTCCCCTGAAGTAGATAGAATATGACATCGGGAATATTGTAATAAGATTCCCATATACCCCACATTCTATCTACTGAAGGGAGACTATAGGCACAGCACTCTTGAATGAACAGTGGCTGAAGCTCGAAACCCAAATCCTTGCAGCTTCCGGTTCCAACATGTCCAAGCTCCAGACGAAGTTTAGGGTTTATAGGGTTTATAGGGTTTAGGGTTTATAGGGTTTAGGGTTTATAGGTTTAGGGTTTATAGGGTTTAGGGCTCAGGGAAACCCCGTCTAATTTGTGTATGTTCCTTCCCTGAAATGTAAGGTTCCATCCCAACTAGGGTATAGGATGAACTCCTTAAAGGGGATTATATAGAGGAGCATTATAGGGCTTCTTTAGGGGCATGCTAGGAGTTTAGACCCTACACCCTAAATCCTTGAGCCCTAGGCTCATTAAGCGGGATACTAGGAGTTTAGGCAAAACCTCAGCTATGCAGGGGCAAGCATAAGCCTGTCACCCTCCCCATTGGGCCCCGCCATTCCACCTGCTTCGGGTGCTCCACACCTAAAAGGTCCATGTAGGCATATGGTGTATATATGTATATATATATATATGTATGTATATCATTCTATACTTAGGGACCAAAGGGGTTCCCATATCCCTAGATTACGGCCTAAGCATAGACCATATATAGCTGCATGGACCCTTTGGGACAGGAGGCGAAGCCCATCATTGATTGGGGACAGCCGCAGCTGTGTCAGGCACAGTGCCTCCAACGTAGCTGCGCTTGTTGGGTGTAGGATTTAATGACGACGATGATCCCAAGACAACAGCAGCCCTGGTCAGCAAAAGAAGGTATGGTGGTGGACTAGAGGACTCATCATCATCATCAGGATCATCATCAAGGTTTAAGGGTTTTAGTTTCGAGTCTAGGATTTAAGGTTCAGGGGGCGTCACCAGATTCAGCACCATCAGTACCGTCATCAGTCGACATCGCCAACCATCAGGTACCCATTCCCAATCATCAATCGTCAGTCATCACTGTCATCGTTATCATCATCATCATGATTAGCAGCAGCAGTCAGTCATCAGTCATCACCCATCAATCTGTCAACCAACCAATCATTTTACCAATCAACCAACCGAACAGTCAGACAATCAATTAATCAATCAGTCAGTCAGTCAGTCAGTCAGTCAGTCAGTCAGTCAGTCAGCAAGTCAATCACCATCATCAATCATCATCATTGCCATCATTACCATTGTGATCATCGCCCTTGTCTTCATCACCTGAACCTACTACTAATGAGTCCCTTCACTAGGTTGCAGCACCTGCGCCCGCTGCATCTGCGTCGATGAAGCCTCGCGCTTGGCACTGTGGGGCTTCGCTCCGTACGATCACTACATGAGCTGTAGTCTAAACTCCTTAAAGGGGGGCTAAATAGGAGATTATATAGGGAACTACTATAGGGGTTATCAAGGGGGATACCAGGAGTTTGGACTGCAGCTCACGTGCGGATTTGTGGGTTCATGTCGGACGACGACTTGAACTGCAACAGCCTGCCCTAAGCTCGTGGTACCAGTACCCTAAACCCTAAACCCAAAACAGACCACTGACTAGGCAGGGTGCTCGAATCTGGAAAGATTGCAGGTCCTAAGCCTTGCTACAATCTATCTATCTATCTATCTATATCTGTATATATATATATTTAAGTATATGAATGCATATATATATAAGGGTCGCAGGCTACCCAGGCACATGTACATGCTCAAGGGCAGAGATCTTACTGGATCTGACACGTGTAAGGCTTGAGCTAGCTTCCACGGTGGGTTTTTTGAAGCGCTTCTGCAGGGACACCAAACCCTTAACTCAGGAAACCAACCCGCGGCACTTGTCACGTAGACCTTGTAGTTATGGGAGCATTTTCAAATGCCTAGAGGGGTTCCTACAAAAATCTCGGTAGTTTACTTGGCTGACATGGTCGTCATGCAAAAACCTAAGCCCGAAACTCGAATCCATTGAAGTCGCAGAAGCCCCCACAGCATAGACATTGCCGTCCCATTGTACAGAAACCCAGTGCGCCCAATACACTTAATTCAGGAATACTCCCTCAAGCCTATTCGTGATTTTTTAGAAACCCTGCCTCGGGTGCCTTCTTCTCAGATTGCCGACATTCTCGAGTGCTGTTTCGGGCGGAAGTCAAAATATCCCGTTTTGGCCTCAGTAACTGGACAGTGGTTTTAAGCGACAGTTGTCAGCAAATGGCCCCATTTGGGACTGTGGAATTAATCCAAACCTCTTCGCCCTAAAGGCGAGCAGTAGGCAGCAGGGGCCTTGGATCGAGGGTTTAGCACCTGAAGTTGGCTTGATTCAGGGGATTGGTAAGCCTCTACTATTCCGACTCCCTGATACGGTGGATACTAAACCTCCTGCATGACCCTAGGTACCTTATTCCTTTGGAACTGTGGTACCATAGCGTACACAGGTCACGCAGGATTTTCTATATCAACAGTAGAAACCCAGCGTGCATGTAATCAATCGTCCAGGGATGGTAATTAGCTGGGCCTCTAAGCCCTAATCCCAAAACTCTGCATAGTGTGCTTATTCGGAGTGGTGTGTCATCTGTCACGTATCCAGAAAATCGCGCATGACCGCTATGAGTAGCATCATGACAATATGTCCCAAAACCTAAACACCTAAAACCTCAAGTGTTCAACCTCAAGTTGCTGGTCGGAGTAGCTTCAATGGGTTTTATTTCCAGCGTGTCCATATCCCACTTCAGCAAGACGGAGGGTTTTGGAGGCCATTACGGCCTGTGCCCTTCACATGAGTACAGACCAGCCGTCTCCATGACTTTCATTGTTTAGCTCTTGTGCATCCCTATACTGCTGATTGGACCAGAAGGTGTCCACACGCAAGCTATGTAAACTCATCACCTTCGGCGGGGGGTGGGGCTCTCCGGTAGCAGCAGATTTTGTCCAAGCTTGGCAAGGCCACCGCCGACGGGCTTTACACCTCTACAAGCAGACAACTACAGGCCGCAACAGGGTTTTTGATGCCTTAAGGGTCCAAGTACCTAATAATCATATACTTGCCCAAAACCTACACTATAGATTTTATTACCCAAAACCCAAGTACCTAATTATTGGGTACTTGGACCCTCTGGTATATGTTTTGGCAAGGCCTGGGGCCGTGCATGCAGGCTCTCTTGGAACCTTACCCTGGGTGGCGTTATCGCTCTCTCTGTAGGCACGCATGCACGGTGGCAGAATAAAGAAAGCCTGCTTGGGTTGAACTTTGCCATATACCTGCCCCAGGATTTTTCCAGATATGACGGCAACCAGCGCTACCATTGGGATTGGGGCGGTGAGGTTTATTCAGGTTGGAATTTGTCCACGATAGTGCTGCAGTGGCGTGATGCATTGCTTGTAACGGCCTTTTTTTCAGGGCGGGCAACCGCGATACTTGTACGAAGTTAGTTAGTTAGTTAGTTAGTTAGTTAGAGAGAGAGAGAGAGAGAGTGAGACGGTAGAAGAAGAAGAGGAAGAAGAACAAGAAAACGAAGAAAGACAAGAAGAAGAAGAAGAAGAGAACGAGAGAAAGAGAGAGGTCCGGGAGGGTCGTAGGGCCCTCTAGCGGCGGGAGAAGAAAACTGTCATGCGTGGATTTTCCAATTTCTTCTGTCAGCTATACTGTTTGCAAGAACCAAGTGGTTGAGACCCTCCCACAGCAAAGATTCTTAGCATCATAGGCCAAGCTGCACTAGTGTAGTCCCCCTTAAGTAGAAAGAATATGGCTTTGGGTATATTGTAGTAAGATCCCCACATGTGCTTAAGGATGACTATACACGTCTGTAAGCTTGTCGTGTTCCTCCCAACAAACTAGCCGCATCCCAAGCGTGGTGGACCAACAGGCTTAGTGAAGACTGTCGGGTTTATGTCGAGGTCCTTGATCACTTGTGAAGCCAGTTGTGCTCTAAAGGTGTTGGGAGCAGTCTAGAAACCTTTGGACATGCCAAGGAGTAGTTGATTCACACCTTTCAGCTTCGGAAATGCGAAGAAGCAAAGTCCCTAGGAGCCACCATGCAAAAAAAGGAGCATCCTTTTGTTGGTGAAGGTGCTGTTGTGGGCGTGTTCGCGTTTTGTCTTGATCAGGGGGGCATTATCCTATTTGCTATAGGCTTTGATGTGCAGCTGTTCAGCTTATCCAGTTCTGCCTGCGCCAGCATTTTGACGGGCTCAGCGCATGCTAAGGGTACATCTCAGCCAGAGTGCTGGAAATCGTCCCATGCTTCGTTTGTTTGCTTTGACGTGCTCCGTGGCCTTTGCTGCAAACGAGATTGAGGTAGTTTCCAACGACGCTCCTTTGCATTTGGAGTGCTTGTGATGGAACCACACCTTCTTTGAGCATAGTCACTGAACAAGAGCAGCCTGAAAGTTGCAACCATGGACAGACAGAGCAGCTTTCCACGACGGTCACTTTGCACCGTGCAAGTGAGGAGAATGGGCCTACACCTGCAAGGCTGATCATTTATTGCGCGATCTATACCGGTGTACCTTATGAAGCCTTATGATGACCAGTACCGTAAACAGCAAAAGTAGGTAAAATCATAGTCCAAAACCCCTAAAGACAGCCCAAAAGGCCATTATTCTACATACCTTGAGGGTTCCAGGTACATATAAAAGCCCTAAAGTTTGCGCTTCCTTGCCACCAGCTCAGGACCAAGCCTTTGCTTTGGTAAACCATGCCACGGGCAAAGGCGCTTGCTGGGGTGCTGCATCGTTTGGCGGAAGCTGCCCGGACGTGGCATCCGGGCTAAACGGGATACCATTTCTCAAAAGGTCCATGTAGCTATATGGTATAGATTTGGGCCTTAAAGCAAGTATATGGGAACCCCCTTTGGGCCGTAAGTATATACTGTATGCCTACCCTGAAACCCTAAACCCTAAAACCTATGCGGGAAATACCATGTACCTAGATTTCCCGGTATACGCTACGCAAGAACGGGAATCCAATCCGGTAAACATGATCCTAAGGATCTAAATAGCCCAATATATTTTAAAGACATTAGGGCCTAATGTAGGTATTCTTTGTATACATGGATCCCTAAATAACCTCTATATAACCCCAGTTTCCATTTCATTTTCCATGTTCTTTTCCATTTGATTCTCCATTATTATTGGTATTCTTTGTATACATGGATCCCTCGGGTGAGTTAGCGTCGAGGAGTATGATTTGAGGCCGTCCCGAGCAAACTCAGGATTTCAATGGCGTAACAAAAGTCGTGGCAAACGAGTTTGTCTTTGTGGCTCTGACGCTCGCTGGTACAGAGGGAGGCATTGGTTTGATAGGTGACTTTAGCACGCTTTCCTCCAAGGAACTCCCCACCACCCGTAAAAGAACACCCATCTAGCCTTTGAGGGATTGTCCAGGGGGCCTTGTTTGACCTGATTGGGGGGATCCTATGGTCCTGAACTCTTTCTCGTAAAAAAGAACTTCCCCGAGTACTAAAAAGCACCTTCCTACTAAGTTGATCTAAGAGGTTTGAGGGTTCTGAAGGTGACCAAGCCATAACAAAGTCAATGTTCTAGCGCATACGAAAACCAGAGCATCCATGCCTAAGCCGTAATAACGTCCATGTTACCATGATGTCGTCCATGTTCTATCGCATAAGAAAGCCAGAGCATCCATGCCCAAACCAGACTAACGTCCATGTTTCAGCTGATGTCTTCAGGTTTGTGTTCTTCGATGTTTCCCTGCATTCTGCCGTTAAGATAGCACGGAAGCCACAGACATGAGCACGTTCCTGAACATAAGACCTCCTTTCCTAATTGCCACAGACACCTGAAAGGTTCCGATCCAAAAAGTGGAACCACCCAAAATACATCCGTGACTACATGGGGGAAACTAGGGGCTCATTAGGGGGGGTCCGTTTGTTAATCCTTTCGGGGCTCTGGGCCCACGCTGGTAACCAGGCCTTACCTCCAAATTTTCGAATCTGGGGGAAATGTAGGCGAAAACAGGTGGGATGTTCTCAAAATTATCGGCCCTTTTTGGTTACAGATTATATTACGGCACCTAGTGTTTCGGGGTACCAAAATGGGACCCTAATTTTGGGAACTAGCCACATTCAGCGACCGGAAACCACAAGGTTTTTTCCGCGTCTGTGACCTCCAAATGCTTTTTTCTTCCCAATACATTATAGTATACCACGAAGGGAATTTATGATGATGAGGGGAGGTTAAAATAAGTGGGAGGGGATTTCTGTCCATGTTGGGATGTAGATCAGGTCTGATTACAGACGGGCGGTGTCCTCCAAAGGGTGGGCCTGAGCTTCGCTTCTAGGGTTTACGGTTGAGGGGTTAGGGATTATAGGATCTAGAGACATGGATCACAAATTCAAACGACTTGCCCTGATCCGACCCAAAATATGTTTATAACTGAGCTCCATTCAGGTTTGAGGGCTGCTCCAAGCTAACCAGATGTAGAATTCATCAATCTTAGGGCCCCTACATACTGGTGGTTAGTAGGGAATAAGGGAATATATAATCGCTATAGAGCATTCCCGCATTCCCTAACCCCCAGCAAGCCTATGGCGAAGGAACGAGGCTGCCGGTACCGCACAGTGCTGGGGTATCTGGCCATGACTGGACGCCAAGGGAAAGTGTGTAGTCGAGGGTTGAAGTTGCAGTTTGTGGCGATTTAGGATTATAATAGATAGAATACCCCATAGTCTATCTACTTAAGGGGGACTATAGGGTTTTAGGTGTAGGGTTTAGGGTTTAGGTTGTTTGGGCTTGAGGGTTTGGAGTGGTACCAGAGTGCTTTTCTTGACCCAGGCTGGACAAGTACCCAGTGCCCCAGACTTTGGTTCAGTGAGGCTAGATTGTTAGTCTGCTTACTGTGCTGCTGAACAAGCTTTCTTTGTTTTTTCAACTTTCTTTGGCCCACTCAGGGTCTGTCACCCTACCTTTCTGAAGTTCTGGGGCTTGCGGGTGCTTGCTCTAGGTTAGAAGTTATGGGGGCTGCTCTCTTAATGGGCAGCAAAAGCTTGGCGATTTCACATCCCGAGGCCCCCACTCCCCAACCCCCTTGGAGGATAAAATGCTTCAACCTATTATAATGGTGGTCTTTCTAGATGGTGGGCACATGGGCAGATCTCGTGTGTGCTGGGAAGGTTTAGAAGCCAGCCAGTACAACCATAGGAGCTAAAACCCTCAGCCCACAAGTCTAAGACTGGAAGTACCTAAACCCTAAAGACCCTAAACCCTAACCCTAAAAACCCTAAAGCCTAAAAGCCTTAAACCCTATACCTAAACCTAAACCCTAAACCTTAAGCCCTAAACAGCCTCTGAGATAGGCTCTTTGCCCAATCAGGATCCTGGGATGCCATCAGAGTAGGGGGTTGGCACATTAGGCACCCAAGACAAAATTGTCCCTACTAGGACAGTGGTTAGGGTTTGGGGTTTAGGGTTCCAGGGTTTAGGGTTTAGGGCTCTGGGATTTAGGGTTTAGCATTCAGGGTTTAGGGATGTAGGATTTAGGGTTTAGGGTTTGGGGCTCTAGGATTCAGTGTTTCAGCCCTTAACCAGCAATTCAGGAGCCGTAAAGCCCTAAACCAAGCATACGCCGAGGTAAGCTTGAACAGGGCGGAGATTGCGCAAACGTGGACTTCACCGGTGTGCTCCCTGACTCGAAATCGGGGATTTTCACGAACTTGATGGCCTTTTATGGGTTCCAGGGGTGAAAATGCGGATCTAGGCGGCACAGTTGTGAAGGACAGTGTTGAGAAAGTCTCAAATTTCGCTGGTATGGCAACTCAGGGGTGTGGCATTATCACAGGCTCCATGTAGTTGTATGGTATATACTTGGGACCTAAAGTAATTATGTGGGAACCACTTTGGGCCCTAAGTATATACCATAAAGCTACCTGGAGCCTTTGGGTTATCACAGGCCCTATAGCCTATAAACACTGTGAACCTTAAAGCGTTTACAGTGACTGTAGTAGTTCGCTACCGGGACCCCCCAAGTATCTAGAATGGCTGTTTCTGGATTCATTGTCTTACCTACTTTTGGGGTCCAGGTAGTATAAGGGAGACAATGGCTGCCAAAAATCAGAGAGTTTCCACCTTCAAGGAAGGCTTCCAGGGGCTGAGGGTTTAGGTTTTGAGGGGTTTAGGGGGCTTAGGTCGGTTTAATGGGTCCAGGTTTTTTTAGCGTTTAGGCCTGGCGTAGGTGGTTCATTGGTCAGAAACCCTTGGAACCTTTATTCCCAGGTCGTCGGAGGTTGACGTTGAGTCAGGGGTCAGGGTTAGATTTCATCAGAAAATGGCTAGTCCAGGCGGAGCCCACATGCCGCATGTACAGGTTGGTAGGGCATGGGATCCATCAAGAAATCACCCCCACAACTCACTTCCACTGCATGGCTCTAGGTTGAACACCCCATGGCATCCCGAAACCTTAAACCCTAAAACTCAGACCCCAACTAAACCCTAAAACCGAAATAAACCCTAAACCCTAAACCAGGAACTGTAAGTTTCACTCTGGCTTGGGTGCCTAGGTCAAAGGGCCCAAGGATTTGGGGGGTTATACGGGAGACGAAGAAAATGAAAAAGCAATATGACATGCAAACTGGGAGCATATAGTGAATTCAAGTTACGTTATGACCGCGTGACATCCCATTATCTTATCGCTATGACTCTTTGTAATGCGCGGACTAGTCTCGAAGAGGTGCTCCCGGACTTTGCGATATCATTTGCTTGCAACACTACATGAGGCGCCTGGATTATTCTTTCTTGCTGGGTTCCTATCCATATCCCTAAACCCTAAACCCTAAACCCTTAATCGCAGCCAAAGGTCTGAACTCTCCGCCACGGACTATGCTTTCGCAGCCTTCGACCCGGCCAATGGCAAAGCTGCTTGCTTTGGCAATCCGCTTTACGGAGGCCTCGCAGGGGGGGGGATCTCTTCTGCCTATGAAGAACCCCACACCACTTCCAGTCAAGCCGTGCCAGAGTAGAAGCATGGGCACAGTTGTTTCAGGGGAGAGTAGACTTATCCAAGGGTTAGGAGATGCTGTTTTCAGAGAGCCTGCATGGTTGAGACACTTCATGACACGACGCTTGTGGTAGCGGTGGCGGCTGCAATGGCGTAATGGGTTTGCTTGTGCTGGGGAAGTCATTATGTGTTTAATTCCTTCGAGAGAAGACCGGGCTTCCTGTAAAGCATGCTCTGCCTTTAATGTGCCTGCTCTCCACACAAACAGTTGTTTTCAGGTCCCGGCGCTTGAAGCATGATCACAAGGGATGACTGCAGCTATCTGAAGGCCACAAACTGTTTCGACTACTAAGATGGGAGTTTGTGAGGGCCTAGTCTAATGCGTGGGCAGTCCCAGCTTGGTCAGCAAGAGAATTCTCCTGCCAGATTGGCTGCCACGGCTTCTTTTAGTATACCCTCTCCCAAACGACCCAAAACCCCAAGCAGAGCTCCATGAAGACCAAGGCTCTTTTAAAAGGAGGCTATTTAATTATGGAGATCCATTTTAATGTGCAGGGTTAGCTCTGCCTTAAGCCTTGGATTGTGAAGACTTGGAAGAATGTGGGGTGTATTGGTGAGGTCTGATACCACCTGCACGAAAAGCTTTGAATGCCTGAGCTTCTGCAACTTTGTCGGAAGCAAGTACAGGAGCAGAGGTACTACTTCAGCATGAGGTGTCCCCCGTACTCTGAATCCTAAAGGGACTCTGCTGGAATTCCGCAGGAGATTGCACCGCCGTCGACTTCACGCATATGGACAAGATCTATTCTGGCTGCTGGATGCATCAGATTACCTACAGGTACCCCAGGGGACACACATGAGCTAGAATCAAAACTCCTAGTATCCCCCTTACTTACCTCTATAGCAGTCCCCTGTATAATCCCCTATATAACCCCCTTTAAGGAGTTTAGACTATGGCTCACATGGGGGGATGACAGGGAGCTATAGTACCGCTGCATGGTTGGTGGCTCAGGCTTGCTGGCCTTCGTCGCCGTGAGCACCTCCCAGGGCATCGGACAATGCTCCTCGCAAAGGACAGTGCTCAGGGTTTAGGTTGGTTCAGGGCTGTAAGTCCTGTACAGATTTTTATGGTAGGTACCTTGCGCACCATTTGCAGAGATCACAGCACATGTTGTAGGGTCCGTGCCTTCCCTGAGAACAAGTCCTGGACGTCTGTTTTGTGTTTTGCTTCCGGAGAGCATTGCAATTGCCATGGTGAGAGGAGGGCGGTGTTTCCTGCAAGGGTTATGCTGCATGGAGTCCGGAGTAGGTGAGCTGCGTGAACCCTTAATTCCGAGCAGCCAACATGCCTTTCCCCCCCCCTGCACATCTCTCAAGAGAGTATGAGGCATACTGTTGCGGCAGCCTAAGTTTTGTAGTAAGTAGAGTAAGAGCACTGCTGGCTGCATACTCTAATTACGTTCTATCGGGTTTCCTTCGAGCAGTTTCGCATTCAACTGGTCGTATCCGGCTGGCACATTGCCTAGGGACACGCAAGTCTCCAGACGTTGCACCCTCTTTAATGTTTTCCTGGAGTAGACCACAAAATCAGCTGAAGCTGAATTCGGGAAATGGATAATAAAGAGGGCTACAAGAATCCCCGAAATAGACTCAGGTCACATCTCGGTTTGGTTGTAGTATATTTTCATAAGCGGAATCCAATCTGACTTGAAGCAAGCACCAAAATGTGAGCACTTCTGAACTCAGGTTGGGGCTTCGGTTTTTACGGCGGTGACTGCAGCACAGTGGACTTCACGGGCGTGACGGAGGTCATTCCTGGAAACTATGCCTTTGTAGCCTTCAACCGCAATGCTGCTGGGTTGCTGTTAAGTATCTTAATTTAAGTTAGTATATTGGGGAAACCAAAGTAACTACTATTTATACATACCCATTATGGTAACCCTTACCCCCAAACCGAATACATATACACATATATATATACATACCCATTATGGTAACTGAATTTATGTTCCTGAAAACCCTATATTCCCGCAGTTTCCATTTCATGTTCCATGTTCTTTTCCATTTGATTCTCCATTATAGGGTGATCATATGGTAACTTAAGTTAAGCACCTTAACCCTAAACCCAATATACCCCTTTAACCCCTAGATTATGGTAACTTAACTTGAGTTTCTGAACCCTAAACCCAATATATCCCCACCCCTAGATTCTGGTAACTTTATCCTAAACCCTAAACCCTAAACCCCAAACCCTAAGTTCCTTAACAGCAAGCCAGGCCGGCACCATCCGATGCTGGGGCTACTCCGTGTACGGTGGAGACTGCAGCTCCGCCCCTGGGTTGTTTGGGTACCCTTTAAAGGGGTTATATGAGCTATAGTCTAAACTGCTTAAAGGGGGTTATATAGGGGATTAATATAGGGGATTATTATAAGGGTTATAAAGGGGGATACTAGGAGTTTAGACTATGGCTCATATAGGGGTAAAAAGGGGTATATAGGGTTCATATACGGGTATATAGGGTTTAGGGATTAGGGTTTAGGGCTTCCCAAAGTTAGGCGTTTGTTTGGGGGTCCCCACAATAAGGATTTTAGTATATCAGGGTCCATAATAAGGGTCCCTATGCGAAAGTGAAGACCTCTCACCGACGTGCAAATGCCTAAAAGGTCTAACCTAACCGGACAAATCTGTGCTGGGAATAGCCAATGTTGGGCGAAAGGGACATCCATGGTCCTTGAACGCTAAACCCCAACAGATTTGTGGAATTGCATCATACTGAAACCATATGGGGGTTTCCCAAAATAGGGGGACCCCAATATAGACCCCGACATACTATAATCCTTATTATGGGGACCCCCAAAAAGGTACCCCTAATTTTGGGAAACCCCCATGTAAGGAGCATGAAGTTAAAGCCCCGGAATCCCAGCAAGGAACCCTGTTTAAATCAGGTGTACTATAGTCTAAACGCCTTAAGGGGGGTTATAAAGGGGATTATGTAGGGGACTGCTATAGGTGTTATTAAGGGGAATACTAGGAGTTTAGAGCATAGCTCAGGTGAATATTGGTGCTCCCATCACGGATGTGGTCACCAACGGAGATGCATTCGTCGCGTACAACCGTGACACAGGTGTTGGCCAGCATCGCGGCTGAATTGCCTGTCCAAAATGGGTTGTAGCAGGATAACGCATAGGGCATAGGTATTGAGGGTTGTGGTGTAAGGTTTGGAGGAAAGGGTTTAAGTCAGGGTTGGGACGGCAGCATGGGCAGAAATGCTCAAGCGAGGAGGGTCGTGAATGTCTTTGATAATGTGACGAAGATAGCAATACAGTTTTGACACCAAGCATTTGAAGAGAGGTCGCCATATGGGTGTTCTCGAGATCAAGGCTCCCTTGTTAGTGGCCTCCCGAAGTAAGGAGTACAGACAGCATGGTATGCTACTCCCAGATGGGCAGCCGACGTGCGTTTGAAACATGAGCGCTCAGGTGATTTCCCGCCCACGAAGAGTAATCTAGGGGAACTCAAACTTTCTTGTAAGTATGCTTTTGCCTCTGCCCCAGGCTCGTGAACACAAACTTAAACAAACATTAAGACTCTCCAGCCTGAATCTCTAGAAGGGGTTCGGTCATTTTGGTTGGAACTACAGCCAACAGGTAAAAACTTTCCCGCCTAAGTGCCCTACACCCTATGTAGGTAGTATGGTATAGTAAGGTCATGCAGGTTGTTAGCATTGACCGTAGGACCTAAACTCTAAACCCCCTAATTAGGAGTCCAAAACTAGGTGCTGGGGCAATTCCTTCGCTGGGGGCGACTGCAGCGGCATCGACTTCAGCGGTGGGGACGTGCCTGCCTCAAGGGCCGTGGGTCGCGGGTAGGGTTTAGGGTTTAGAGCTGCGAAATGGCTATAAGGGTTTAGGGCTTATAGCCTGGTCCATAAACACAAGTAGAGGCCAGAATGCTGAAGAGCCCGCATTTGGGGCTTTCATGTGGCAAGGGCTTCGTTCGCTCACCGTTCAGCAACTAATCAAAGACTGCGTCAGACTTAGCTAACCCAGTACAGATGAGGGGCGGTATGTATGCTCGTGATAATGCAGATGCCAAGGTCCAGAAGACCCCAAAGCCGTAAACCCGAATCTATATGATCCTAGAAGAATCGTGTGATTGTCATAGGACCCGAATCTTGGGAGTTGGGGTTATCAAGCAAACCCTATTATAAACCCTGGCTAACAACCAAAGGTTCAGATCTATACTACTCCGAATGCCTTCCTGGCCTTCTCAGCCTCACAGCAGCGCACCTCGGCTAAGGGCGTGTTGTTTACAAGGAGAAACATCGTCCAAGGCTTTCTCGTAACCCCTTTGTAGTTGAGGGTAATATAAGACTAGCAAGCTCTAGGTTGTTGGTGGTTACAGGCTGGCTTTGTGCAATGGATTGGGGTTATACGGGGATGATGGAGAATAAGATGGAAACTACCGTAATGGGTTACATAGGGTTTAGGGTTTAGGCACTACCCAGAGCAGCTTACTGACCCGAGCTTGAGGCAGACACCTCAACCCCAAGCCCTCAAGCGAAAACTAAGCCATGCCCCCTGATGATAAGCAGTCCCTCACCCAATCAGTGTATGCCCCAAGTATCGTGCCAATATTATACAAACACCCAAACCCTAAACCCTGAACCCTGGGGCATTTTTTTCTCATGAGGGTGGCTCGGGGGGTCCATTAATAGGGCGCGGTGATTACCATAATTCTTGGAGCTTCCGGTCATGCAGCCTACTGTACACCAATAGTTGGACGGTTACTCAAGACCGTGTTGACCCAACCTTGATATCAACGCGTCTCACCGCAAAATCTGAACTTCTTGCTTTGAAGCTGAAACCGAAACCTTCACTCCCTAATCGCTATGTAAAGCACGGAAATTAAATAGGACCCAAAACAGGAAACACTAAGCAGGAAACATATTTTGATTTGCGCAATCCCCAGCCTCGCCCCACTTGCCATGAATTTGCCCATGTGGAAATAGTATTGCATTGTGAACATTTATTCATGACGGGGTGGGAGCATCCCTGATTTGTGGAAGGAGACAAACGACATCCCTGTCCCTGTGATTGATTCCTAAACCCTAAATCCTAAACCATAGACCCTACAAACTCTGAACCGCCCTAAACTACAAACCCTAAACCCTAAACTCTACACCCTAAACCATAGACCCTAAACTCTAAACCCTAAACTTTAAAATCTAAACCTTAAAACCTAAACCCTAAACTCCAAACCCTAAACCCTAAATCCTAAACCCTAAACTCCAAGACTCCAAACCCTAAATCCTAAACCCTAAATCCTAAATCCTAAACCCTAAATCCTTAAACCCTAAATCCTAAACCCTAAACCCTAAACCCTAAATCCTAAAACTGAAGGTGGCCAATGTTGGGGCCAAGCAGCTTCAGGTGGCGACTGTTCACAGGCAACCTTGGATTAGGGGTTTAGGGTTTAGGGTTTAGGGGTTTAGGGTTACAGGGTTTATAGGGTTTAGGGTTTAGGGTTTAGGGCTAGGGGTTTAGGGTTTAGGGTTTAGGGTTTAGGGTGTACCTGGACCCCAAAAGTATGTAGAATCATTGCCTTTTAGGCTGTTTTTAGATGTTTTGGGCCAATATTTTACCTACTTTGGGGGTTTAGGTAGAGGGTTTGGGGGTGCATAGGGTTTCGGGTTAAGGATTTAGGGCTTAGGGTTGTAGGATTTAGGGTTTAAGGTTTAGGGGTTTAGGGTGTAGGGTGTGGTTGTAGAAGGGTTGGTATACTATAGTATAATATACTATATGCATTGGGGAATACGTATACAGGGGTCATATCTTGGGATAATGGAAAAGAAAAGGAAACGACTATTTAGGGTTTAGGGTTGTCATCCATAGGGGTTCATAAAAAACGACTAGGGTTCAGAGGGATTTGGGGTTTGGCTGGGTTAGGCCTTAGATGAGTAAAGGTTTCTGAGTCAGAGTTTGGGTTTAGGGATTTAGGGTTCAGGCCTAGGGTTCAGGGACTAAATCATCCAGAGGGAGCAGGGTTGCAGGGTTTCAGGACTTAGGTTGAAGGGGCGCTGGGAATCCCAGTTTGCTTCTATGGGGGTGCTTATCAACATGCCTGTCCACAAGAGTTCTCAAGAGTCCAGGCATCCCAAATGGGATCTTAAATCTCACATCCTGTACTCTGACTGGTTTTTGTCACCTAACACCCAACAGTCCCCAGATATCCTCTTCCGAGTCCTACGCCTAGAAGCCCTAAGCAGCCGCAAAATCTTGGGAGGTCAGCTTCAGCGGCGTTACGCAGATCTACTCAAACAGTGGCGCCTTCGTTGCCGTGGACACTGCCACTGGCCATCAATGTAGTACTTGAAATGGGGAGCCTATAGTCCCTCATAGGGTTTAGGGTTTAAGGTTGGGTATATCCTCATGTTGGGTATAGTACTCTGGAAAGAATGTTGATGTCTTGAGAATTCCCGCCGTAACCTGACCCTTCCATACGGCACCCCCCTCAAGTTTCCGCTTGAAATAGGCTTACGTGGGGCTTGCCTAGGCTGATTCATGGGAGCCCAAAAAAAGGAGGCAATAAAAGTGGGTGTTTGGGGAACCCATGTTTAGGGTTCAGGGTTTAGAGTTTAGGGTTTAGGGTATGGAGTTTAGGGTTTAGGGTTCAGGCTTTAGGGTTCAGGGCTTAGGGTCCAGGGGACCAAGGCAATACTGGATTCATGTTTGGGCTCCTTTGAATAGTGGAGAACCACATGGAAGATGAAATGGAACTTGGCCCATACTGTGGCTAATTAGGATTAGAGTTTAAGTGTACGGCTTTAGGGTGTAGGGTTTCGGGGTTTAGGGTTTAGGGTCCACCTCAGCGATCCTTTATACGTTTTGGAGCATGGGCCGCTCTTTGAAAGCGAGCATTAGGGTCTGAAAACGTGGCTTTCAAGACGTGGATTTGCAGTTCATCATGTGGGGCTTAGCTATCAATAGTCTAACTGTAAAAAGAATAGTACTAGTCACCACTCTATTGCAAGAATGAAAATTGGCACGGGAATCTTGGTAGCCTGGTAGCCAACCCCAGCCCCCAAAAGCAGGACTCTGTCAATGTCAGATGATAGGTGTGGGTCCTGATTTTGGGGGATTGAGGTAACTTAAATGCCTTTGATCCTAAACGCCCTAAACTCTAGGGCTCGTGTTATGACTTTGTGGTAGTTTCCCAAAACAGGGGGGCCCCAATATACAACCCCAAATACTATAACGATGATCCTTATTTATGGGGACCCCTGAAATAGGTACCCCTAATTTTGGAAAACACCCTTTTGGAGTTGAGGCATTCTATCCTTAAACCCTAAACCCTAAACCCTTGTTGGTTTAAGCATTGGACACACTGACTCAGGTCAACGGCGTGGGCGCCTGTTGGGGCTCAGAGCTGTACGGAGGCTGGCAAAGGATCTTTTTCCGTCCATGACACGGAACTACAGGGTTTTGGGTTGAGGGTTTACGGTTTTTAGGGTTTAGGGTTGGGCGCCATACATAGGTATAATTTACAAACTTTAGGGCCCAATGTAGGCTTGTTCGTATATTTGGATCCCTCGGGTATGGGGAACTCCAGCAGCTGCGGCAGTTGTTGGACTTGTAGCAGAACGAGCAGGAATTACTGCGCAGTAGTTGGGGTGATCTGGTATTTTTTTTGTGATGGTTTGCTGCTACAGAAGACCCTAAACCCTTAACCCAAAAACCCACAAAACCTCTAAACCCTAAGTGCCAGGTGTGTGCAACAACGGTGTCGTGAACTTTGAGGGCATGAGCTCTTTTGCTTCCACCAGCGGGTCCTTCATGGCCTGGAATGCCGAAGCCAGCAAGAGATTGGAGGGGCTCAAGGGTTGCCAAGGCTATAGGCACCCTTAGGTAGACAGAATATGGTACTGAGTATATTAAAATGAGATCCCCATATACCCCATATACTATCTACTTAAGGGGGGGACTCTAGGTAGACCAAGGGTTTTGGGGTTTATGGTTGTATGTCTTGGGGTTTCGGATGCTTAAGAACCCCCAGGGGGCTCATTACATGGGTTCATACAAGGGTTATGTTGGGGCCATATTCGAGTGTACTTCTGGGTCATCCTATGCATCCCCCTTTGGGCATAGTATACAGTATACGTAACACTGACCTCTCCCAGTTCCGGAAGATGTTTGTGTGAAGGGATGCATGTGGTTAAGGGAGGGTTTCGCTGCACTGTGTGAAGCTGGGTTGCGAGCGCGACTGTGTCGGAGATCGGGTGTTATTGCAGTTTACCCAGCGGGTCCACATACACAACCATTAGGGAATGGGGGCCCGTAATTCCTTCTATAGTATGGTATTTTGGGGCCTAATTCCCTAATAGTTGTATATATGGCCCCTCTGGGTTAGGGTTCTAAGCTGTAGACGGCAAGTACACGTAAGCGAAGATGTTGCGATATGGCAGCTCGCTTCTGTGAATTGAGGTTTGGTTGGTTTTTTTTTCAACCGTGCGGCACAAGCAGCACAGTGTGTGTGCGCTCGGGGCCGCGGCAAACTCATATGAAACAGAGCTATGTAAGACTTGCCTGATGCTTCATGAAGAGGTGCTGATCTTCAAGCAAGTTCAACATTTTGATTGGCATGCCTCAAATAGCGTAGCCTCGTGTCAGAAGTCAAATTCTCTCAAGCGCCTGAGCAGTGAGCTCAGGAAACTGGCGCTGGCTCCTGCTGGGGCTATGATGTCACGGGAGGCATATGTCCAAACGTCAACTTTGCAGGAGTGGACCGGGTCTTCTCCAATTCTGCTGCTTTCGCAGCCCTGAGCACATCTCAAGGCACCATGCAAGTTTGGGGCAACAGCAACTCCGGAGGCGATGCATCAGCAGTTAACTTTGCAGAGATCCTGGTGCTGCCTGCAACGATGACTACCACCCACACCAGCACCGAGACAACTGTGACCGCCACCACCACGGTGACCACAGCGACTCAGACGACCACGGCAACGTCGGCAACCGTTACCAGCACTGAGACCACTGCCACAGTCACCACCACGGCGACAACAGTGACTCAGACGACTACGGCAACGTCGGCAACCGTTACCAGCACTGAGACCACTGCCACAGTCACCACCACGGTGACTACGGCGACTCAGACGACCACGGCAACGTCGGCAACCATTACTAGCACCGAGACAACTGCAACCAGCACCGAGACCACAGCCACGCAGACCACTACTGTGACATCTGTCACCAACACGGCTACCGTGACGTCAGCCACGGGAACAAGCACTGAAACAAGCGTCACTGTCAGCACCACAGAAACAGTTGTCACAGAGACAGAGACCGCCACCAGCACAATGACCACGGTCACCACGACCATCCTTGCATCCACATCCACAGGAGAGTGTCGGAGATGGTGTGGCTGGATGGTGGAGCGTTGGGCCAGCAAGGTGTGCAAGTGGAAGTCCTGCGAGGGCTGTAGCGGTTGCACCGCACAGCCAGAACCAGAATTGATTAGCTGCAGCTCCACTTGTTCCAAGTACAAGTGGGGAGCCCAGCGCTCTTCTTCTGCGTTCCTTTGTGTGCGCGAGAGGTCCAGGGGCAACTGGTGCTACCCACCCACGGGTTGGTTTGTGAAGACATGCAGGCCCAACTACAGCCGCTGCAAGGTGGAAGATGCTTGGGAGCTTTGGAAAGGTTTTTGTTTTCAGCGATAAATATGAAGAGTCCCGGTCCATGAGCTTCATGACTAAAGGTACTATGCGTACATGAACATTGTACATAACTGTTACATATACATAGATATACATGTTATTGTCTTTAGAGCTGATAGTTCCAAAGCCTCAGCCTATAAAGCACAGGGCCATAATTTGGCTCCTACACTACATTCCCCAGCACCTAAGCTCCGAGCCCCAGGACAGGCGGTTGAGCGAAGAGGAGACCTGCGCTGCACTTCCTAACGTAACCCCTGTCCCTAATGTTAACACCCTCCACCCCCTAATATGAAATACACGCAGTATAATGTTGTATACCACAAGGGGAATATCTAATGTAAAGGGGTTGGGGGTTCAATATCAAGAGGAGGGTTTTCTTCCCTTCGCAGTTTTGCTCGTACACGGCGCATCTCCATCTGCGACTAGAAGTCGAGGGGGGTAGGAGCCTTTTGAACCTGGGTTGGGAAAGGCTAGGTGTACTACTTTTTGTAAGCGGTTATGCTGCTGCAACCTGACACGGGTTAAACAGCAAAGGGGCGGAAGCGAAAGGGAACCAAACCAATCGGGACCAACCACCTACCTAAGCAGCAGCGGGAGCTGCGGCCAGTCTGCGCCAGCCATCTCGCTGACTTCTAGCTCACCACTCGCGATTACGGATCTTGCCCATTCATCATTCCCAAAGGGTCCATGTAGCTATATGGTATATACTTAGGCCTTAAAGTGTGTATATGGGATCCCCTTTGGGCCCTAAGTACAAACCATATACCTACATGAACCCTTTGGGACTACAAGCCTATCCCTCGAGGTGTACTACTTAGGGGTCATCCTATGTGTGCTCCTTTGGGTACACTGCATACACACCAAACGTAAAACCCTAAACCCTAGAATCCTTAAATCCTAAACCTCTTTAGTTAGCATGAAACTCTAACGTAACGTGAAGCCCTGAACCCCTAAACCCTCATAACCCTAAACCCCCCAACCCTAAACCCTCACAGCCCGTGACCCTAAACCCGAAACGCCAAGCCGCCCCAAAACCCCCAACACCTCACCTTGCCTGGTGGGTCAGGAGAGTGAGAGCGGAGTGCCAGCCGACGACGGCGAATCTGGGCGGACTTAGGGTGTTATCTAACTATCCCTAGGGATCCATGTATACAAATCATGCCTACATTGGTCCCTAAAGTCTGCAAATATTACCTACATTGGGCTATTTGCATCCTTAGAGTATAGCAGACATGTTACAAAAAACATGTTCTCGTGAATATAGGCCCCTACAGTACGGAGATTGGATGTTGACAAACTCCCACATCAACTAGGAAGCCGAAGCGGACAGCGAAGAGCTGGACGACGACGAGCTGTCGTTTCTTGTCTGCAGCACGCAACGGAGGCCCAAGAGCTTAAATTGTCCGAGAGAATTAAGAGATTGCGGCTGATGATTTTGAGCTTTCCCCTAAGGGTCCAAGTACCCAATAATAACATACTTGCCCAACACCCGTACTATAATCATTATTACCCAAATCCCACGTACCTTATTATTGAGTACATGGACCCTTAGGGTTCTCTCTTTTGTAAAGTTCTGGGCCCTTTCGGCTACTCTTCATCCTCAGCCGTGAGCCCCGGCCGTCAACCCTGAACCCTCGATCTGTTGGTACTTTGAGATTCAGCCATCCGGCCCCCCAATGCTGACATTGGGGCCCGAAAAGGCCCTAAACCCTAAACCCTACCCCGTGAAGATTGCAGCCCTTCAGAAAAGAGTCATGCCCACGTTGGTCGGAAGGAGTCCTGCGGGGTGGTAACCTGCTTTCATGTCCTAGTTCTTGTAAAGCCTGTTAGTACTACTCACAAGACTGCGACTTAGAGCATAGTAGCCCCAGCAAGGCAAGGGCATAGTGGCAGTAACAGTAAACTATTCACAGTCATAGTCTCCGTGTAGTACCATAGACCGCAATATGGCAAACTCCTCGAGAGAGGGGCTTCCTAAAACCCCAAACTCTGCAGCCCAAGATTTGCCGACTCTCCATATGGGAGTGCCTCAAAATACTCCTTGGACAATTCTAAATAAGGACCTTTATAACCCCTTCATGCTGGTCCCAAAAACCACCCATTTTGAGTAACTCTCCATACGGGTTCCATGTTCGTTTGAACCCCATGACCTGAACTCAAAACCCTGAACCCTGAATCCCCAACCCTAAACCCTGAACCCCATAACCTGAACCCAAAACCCTAGACCCTGAACCCCATAACCTGAACCCAAAACCCTAAACCCTGAATCCCGACCCTAAACCCTGAACCCCATAACTTGAACCCAAAATTTTAGCAAGGCCTCTGCGGCGTCTCCGCGGTAGCCAGGGATGATCCATGCCCGGCGCAGCTTTGAAGGACGGGGGTTTGGCTTTGCAGATGTAGGGCGATTTAGGGTGTAGGGCTTACTGCTCAGGATCTAGGACTTAGGGTTGAGGGTTTGGGTTTCTGTCTTTAGGGTTTAGGCGTTAGATGGGCTTGCATAAAATCGTCTTCAGTTTAGGGCATCTAGAGCTTCTGGGTGCAGAGCGTTGGCTCCGGGTGTGGTTCTGCCGCGTTACGTGTAAAGGGGGGGGGGGGTTACTTGGGGCTTAGCATCCTTCAATGTGGCACCAGAAAGTAAAAGTTGAGTATGCGCATGTTTGCTTTTGACAATTTGCTTCATTAGTCTGTTCGCAAGCTTGTTTTGCGGGAAAGCCCCAGCAGTGTAGAAACCAGCATACTTCTCACATACGTGCACTGTAGTATAATGTGTCCACGTTAGCAAATCATCAAGTCATTGAGGCCCCCACATGCTTGGTGCCATGGATTTGGGGGATAAGCAAGCCCGCTCTCCTGGGCATGAGCAGTGGCAGCTGGGCATGAGTGCCGTGGTGAGGGGTGGTGGAAGAACAAGCACAAGAAGAAGAATAAAAAGAAGAAGGATAAGGAGAAGTAGTAGTAGTAGTAGTAGTAGTAGCAGTAGTAGTAGTAGCAGCAGCAGCAGTAGTTCTTAGTAATGGAAAACCCTAGATTCTAAATCACGCAAGTTTAGTGACCTTTTCCAATTTCCTTGGCTTCCTGTTGTGGAGCTTGGGCAAGATTGACTTCTTGGTTTGTGACTGACTCTTGAGGAATATTCCATAGAGTCTTGTCCACTGTTTGTCATTTTGCTAGAAGAAAATTGCAGAAGACAGGAAGGTACAAATTTCCTTTGGATGCCACTGAAAGGCCCCCAATGACACGACATATGCTGATGTTGTACCGATTCCTGTGCAGTGAGATTGCTGTTGCCCAAGATTTCGCCCGCAAACGCAACCAACTCCCCGAGTTTGAACCAGCACCATGCTCCCTGTTGAGAAGGATGCTCCTGTGGCAGCTGCTCGGCAACATCCAACAAGGTTGAGCTGGTGTAGGGCAGCGAATGAAGTGGAACCTAGGGCTATATAGTGCATCATCATTCCTTGCCACGTGGCGCCCTAAACATCATGTACGTTGTGTTAAGAGCTTAGGTTTACTTTTTGCAGCCCAAAGCACCAGGCGCCTCTCAATAATGAGGCACTGTCTTTGGGGTTTAGGGTTTAGGCGTTAGATGGGCTTGCTTAAAATTGTCTTCGGTTCATTTTGGGGTGTTGCGCGTAATAGGGGGGATTTACTTGGGGCTTAGCATCCCTCAATTTGGCACCAAAAAAAAGTTCAGTATGGGCATGCTTGCTCTTGAGCGTTTGTTTCATCAATCAGTTGGCAAGGTTGGTTTGCGCTTAAGCTCCTGCAGTGTAGAAACCTGGAATCCTTCTCATGGACATGTTTTGTACTAGAATGTGTCCACGGTAGCAAATCATCAAGTCATTGAGGCCTCCAAAACTCCAAACCCTAACATTCCTAGTGCCTTAGCCTCTGGGTACCTTGAAGGGAGGCCATGTTTTGGACAATGAGCGCAGGGTTCCCCTCCGGGTCAGGGTCCGTCCTTCCCTGGAGTGAATTACCCTAACAAATCCCCTCCACCTAGTATTAAGCCCCAGCCCCCAACATGAAATACTCTCATCGTGGTTTATTATCACGTATTGGGACCATTTAATATAGGGGTGGGGGTTTTTATGTTAGGGGGTATACTGCAACCCTGCAAGCCGGTAGTGCGCTCTTGAATTTTTGAGACTGTTGTCGGGCTGGAGGCACGATTTCCTTTGAGCTGTAGTGTTGCCCCATGGCAGTCCAAGTACCTAACTAACATGAATTTTGGGATCATTTGGCCCATACAGATACTTGGGACCCAAAGTATATAATGTTCGAATACATGGACCCTTAGGGTCATGTCCCTTAGCTCAGAGGGTAGATTTTGCAATTCCCCTTCTCCTTGAAGCTGGATGTTGCTATCCGGACCCTGGGTTCCGGGAAAAATCTGCAAGATAACCAGGCAATCAATCTCCTATGTTTAAGTTATGATTATTTTATAGCAGATGATATTATAGTGTTTCATGACATGCCTTGCCAGTAAGGCCCTCAAGACATGACTGCATTCCTGCAGAACAGACTGCAGATGTAACAGTTTTGCTATAGATCAAACTTCACTTCCCCAGCAAACCCAATCTTCCGCCCATAGAGTCTGCTGCAAGGCTCCTCTTGCGACCCCATTATTTCTCCAAAGGGTCCATGTAGCTATATGGTATATACTTAGGACCCAAAGGGGTTCCCATGTACCTACTGCAAGGCCCCGGTATATACCATATAGCTACCTGAACCCTTTGGGTTCAGACTTCAAGCCCGAAACCCTGCATCTGAGGTTTGGCCAGGACGAGCATGCAGCTGAGAATTGAAACGGCCACGCAGACGATCCGTCTGATTTTGACAGAGTTTTTCAGCTGGTAGGCTGGCTCCCCCGTATGACTTTCTGCAAGGTAAGTCGACAGTTTGCAGTATGCTCTTATAGGTGCGGTGCAGATGTGTGAGGTAAAGCCTCCTTCCAG